GTTCCCTCATAAAGCAAAATATCTTAAAAATATATTTACACCGCCAGGAAAAGTTAAGGATAAAATAAATTAATCCAGATAACGCAGAACACTATCTTTCTCGTACATATAATTATGAAACATTCGATAAAATATAAAACTTGTCTTTTCGCATTTAGTGTTTCGGAAGAAAAGATATTCTTTGGACAAGGATTTTTTAGAGAGCGGAATTAGAACTTAAAAGAGAACGGTTGTCTATTTATGGTCAAATTTGGAGCGATTAGAGAACGGTTAGAATTATACAACGAAAAACCCAAAAAGAGAACAGTTCAGAGTTATGAGTCCAAAAGACTGAAAAAAAGAACGGTCACATATTCGAATATTGAATTATTATCTATATATATCTTGCATTACCTGCAAAAAAATATATTGTACAAAAAGAAATGCAAATATATATGATATTTCAAAAAAGTAGAGCATGACTATATTTTCTTGGTCTACCACGTATTTCTGGTTCATGATAGCCAAAAGCAATTGCAAATCCAACTATATATTTACAAACGTATTCTTTGCAAAATAATCTGCACGAACAAAAGTTTTGTTGAACCGAAACTATGTGAGCAGATTCATACCCTATGTTAAAATGATTCTCTTCCTCTTTACGTATCGATGTATAAATATGAAGAAGTGTGCGTATGAAAAATTCTACTTCAGAACTGTACACATACAGTGAAAAAATATCTTTCAATACCGTTCTCTAAACACTAAAAATTTAATAATTCGCACTTCGTTCTCTTTTCATACTTTTTCCGATTCAATAAAATTGATATTTTATATTTGTCAATTTTGAACAAGTATACTGAACAACAGAAGGACTCGATACAAGCTATAGATGGATATTCTTTTTCTCCTTTCGTTCGTTCACCACGATAAAATACGAAAGAGCAATAAAAGGCGTTAATTTCCACGTAAAATCAGCTTTTATCTATTTCTCGAAAAGTACATTTTGCATTTTGCACCCAAAAACAGATGCCGGATTCGAAATCTACAAAAAAAAACGAATCAGACTATATATACCGTTTTCTTCGAAACCGGACGCAAGTGGAATCGACCCGGTTTACTGTGTAGGTACCCTCAGATATCTTTAGATTTCTTTCTTTTCTAATCGTATATAGGTGGTGACAATTTACTAGCGTACACAGCAAATACGCAAGGGAATCAACTATTTTTGTTTTGTTTCTTTTTTCTGTTGTGTCATGAAGTAGAAATGCGAGACACGTGCACGATAGAAAAGAAATGAAGATATCTCTTATTTGATAAGGCTCAGTTGTTAAATGCAATGAAGCATTTCTATTATAAACATTTTCAACAAATAAGAAGTTTACTGCAACCGAGAACCACGGTTCCGCTTCTTCAGTTAGAACCGAAACGAAAAGAACTGCGGTTCCAGTTCCCGACTTAGAACAGAACCACGGTTCTCGATTCTCACCTTAGAACCGGGACATCCCTGGTTAGCAGAGATACTGTCCTATAATTCTTTGATTTGGTTTATTTTCATTTCTTTCTATCCAGTAACAGATCGTAATGGCTGCAGATGAATGTAAAATTAAAGTTGTATGTCGTGTTCGTCCGTTAAACGACAAAGAAGAACGTGCCAGAAGCAAAAGTGTTGTTAAGTTCCCAAGTGATCATGATGTTCTTACAATTGTATGTGGCCCCTATTAAAGTAGTGCTATCAGATTTAAAGTTAGTTTTAGAAATCTTTTTTAGGACAAAGATTATGTATTTGACAAAGTATTTCGGCCTGACGCTACTCAAGAAAAAGTGTACATTGAAGCTGCTAAAGAAATTGTCGAATATGTATTGAAGGGATACAATGGGACAATATTCGCTTATGGTCAAACATCCAGTGGGAAAACACATACAATGCAGGTATGGTTTAGATTGTTCATAAGATTTATCTACAAGTAGTCACTTTTCATTTTCTTGTACAGGGCGTACTAAACAAAGAAAATGAACAGGGTATAATTCCAAGAATCGTTCAAGATATATTTAATCATATTTCTACGTTTTCCACGTCAAATCTTCAATTTGAAATAACAGTATGTAACTCGATTGTGTTTGACAGTTGTGTTCAAAAGTCAAGTTTATCTGTTATAGGTTTCTTTCTTCGAAATATATCTTGAGAAGATTCGTGACTTATTAGACGGTGAGTGTAAGACATATCATATACAAACGGATTTTATCGTTATGTTTATTCTGTTTTAGTGTCAAAAACTAACCTTGCTGTTCGTGACGATAAAAACAGAGTTCCATCCGTCAAGGTAAGTAGAAAAAAAGAATCTTTTATCCTTTCAGAATATTATATCTCGTTTTCATTGTAGGGAGTCACTGAGTGTGTTGTCTCATCACCCAGAGAAGTCTTTAAAACAATTGCAGATGGAAAAAAGAATCGTCATACAGCCGTGACAAGTACGAATTAAAAAGCACTTTGAGCCAAATAACACTATCTTTCTTCATTTCATAGATATGAATGAGCATAGTTCTCGTTCACATTCTGTCTTCTTAATCAATGTCAAACAAAATAATGTGGAAACAGAGGAAAAATTAAAAGGACAACTTTATTTAGTTGATTTGGCTGGTAGTGAAAATGTAATTTATCACATATGCTTCATGGCGCTCAAGATGTTACACTGTTGTTTTGTTTAGGTAGCAAAAACTGATGCCGCAGGACAGATGTTGAATGAAGCCATAAATAATAATTTATCCTTATTCGCACTTGGAAACGTTATAAAAGCATTAGTCAGAAAAACATTAACCGATGGACCGGTAATTTACACTTCTTATGTGTTCTATTCTATTTGTTATATTCATGTGTTTTCAGAAACCTTACATACCTTTTCGTGATTCAAAATTAACTCGAATACTAAAAGAATCGTTGGGCGGTAATGCACGTACAATAATAATTCTTTGTTGCTCGCCAGCTAGTATCAGTGAATCACAAACAAAATCAACACTCAAATTTGGACAGCGGTACGATTTCGATTGTTGTATAATAAGCTTAATTGGCGTATCTTTATTTTAGTGCTAAACTCATAAAAAACTTCCCTAGGGTTAATAAAGAATTGACAGCTGAAGAATGGAAACGTCATTATGAAAAAGAATGTGAGAAGGCAGCTCGTCTCGAAAAGCAACTTAGTCTAGCAGAAGCTGAATCAGAACAATGGGATAAAGAACGAACAAAGTTGCATCAACAAATAGATGAACAGGTGAATAGACAAGATATTTGAGTAGCTAATAATTTTGAGACACTCAATATTTTTGCCATAGGACGATAAAATCAACAACCAATCACAATTAATCGAACACCTTAAATTACAATTGACCCAACAAGGTGAAGGCTTTCGTCCCGTTTTTAAGACATTCGAGTTTATTTTGAATGTTGGAAGGCGATAATAAATAATGGATCAATTATACATGGGATTTCTGAAAACACATGAATATAACAAATGAAGTAGAATACATAAGCAGTGTAAATTACTGTTCTATCGGCTACCCACTGAAAAAAATAATTAAAATTCATGCAGAATCCCGCAGGATTTTGTGCAGAAGCCCTGCAGGTTATGTGTGTTAAAACAGCCAACGATATTTCTTATCTTTACGCCGGATTTTTATTCTGAGAGTGGACGGAGAATCGTGCATAGTTCATGGAAAATTAGCATGGAAAAATTGCAAGGATTTTATTTATGTCAGATCGTGATAGTTAAAAGAAAAAGCTTATTTTTATAGAGTAAGTTGGGGTAATTCTGGACACCTATTTTAATTTTCACAGTATTTTTACTCAGGAAAAAATGATACCTCACATATGGATAGACTGGACATTTCTCTATCTACTGATGTAAAAATCTTGTTAAATAAGATTACTTAGTACTCATCAACTTCCAGAGAGCACCCATCAAATGTCTAAAATTAGTCCATAATTACTCCTAATTACTCCTGATTATGGACAGTCAGTGTGTCTGGTTGGGTTAATTCTGGACTGTCCAGTAAAAGCGGGTGGAAGAAAGTCAGACAACTTTTTCTCAACTGCAAAGTTTTACCTTTCTAATTAAAAATTATACCATCTTGCAGAGAATTTTGAGGTTTATCTATTTTTCTTTGTTTCATTTCCCCCTTTTCCACGCATATATAGATATATATATAGAAAGCAAGAAAGTGATAAGTGAAAAAATTTTATCTTTTCATCGGAATGTTTACTGCAATCACTATGAAATTACTCCATATTCTATCGACTTGACAGATTGAAAAGTTAACAAATTTGAATGTACCCCTCTCCAGTTTTTCAGATAGTCTGAAGTACACAAGTTGTACTCTATGTCGAGCTGTTTTTTACAAAAGCGTACAGTCTACTTTTTGAGCTACAGAGCTGTCAATATCGCTGTTAATGTGCACCTTCTATGTGCATGTAGAAATAGATATAATAAATATAGAAAGGATTGAAGTGAAAACTGAAAAAGTTTTATCTTTTCATCGGAATGTTCACTACAATCACTATGAAATTACTCTATATTATATCAATTTGACAGATTAAAAAATTAACAAATTTGGAAGTACCCTTCTCCGTTTCCTACATCAGTTTGAAGTACACAAATTGTACTCTATGTCGAGCTGTTTTTTACAAAAGCGTACAGTCTACTTTTTGAGATATATATAGCCGTCAATATCGCTGTCTATGCACCTCCTGTGTGCATGTAGAAATAGATATAACGGAATAAACGAAGAAAAGAACAAATTTTATGTTTTTATCCAAAGGAAAATCGCACTAGTATAAAATGAGTGTAGATTCTGACAACTTTTCATACTAAAAAGTTAACAAATTTGATAGTACCTCTCTCCGTTTTCTACGTCAGCTTCAAGTACAGAAGTTGTGCTGTATAGCATGCTATTTTTCAGAAAAGGGTATCCTTTAGTTTTTGAGTTATAGGGCTGCCAATATCGCAACTCAACGTACGAAAAGTAGATATCCACACCAGTATAAAAGTCAAATGGGTTTTCAGAGAATTTTCTGAACTAACACGACTTTCCGGCTTTCTCTTTGGGTCATGGTTATGTAAAACAAATAAAAATGGTTAAAAGGCTCGTATTCTTTCATAGTCAGTATCTTCTTGAAACACAGCTATTGATAATCAATAAATAAGACTGTCAAATGATGAATAATAACTACTCATCCATTACCGTTATATTCATCATTGTGTAACGAAACATTCATGTCTAGATAACCCGGTGATATTAAGAACTCTATAATGTCTATATAAGATATAGAGCTCTGAGTATCAGTCTAAAGTTAGTAAAATGTATTGATTTCACTTTAATTTTATAAATTGCACGAGTTTGGAATGACTGACATAACTTTCTTGATTACTTTTCCGAACATCATGGTCAGAGAAACCCAAGTTCCACATGTACCCCTTCCAGTGATCGCTAAAATTAAATTGAAATGGACCCATTTTACTAACTTTTATCTTGGATAGTGACAGCTCTTTTCCTTACTTTGTTCGTTAAAGAGAAAACGTGTTGTGTGCTCATAGACGAAAAAAGAAACAGAATTCTTTTGGATAAAACTTCATTTCTTGCTTTATATCTGTTTTCAGTTAGATGAAACTTTGATTGAGAGTCTCAATAGAGTTAATGGGTGCATTCGTGTAGAATTTCGTTTGGTACTCTTTCTGAGTTTTTCCTGAGCTGATATTTTAATGAAAACTTCCCACTGTTGGATCACATTACGAGAAAAAAATGAAACTATTCACTTTGTTCTTCTCCCCTGTTCTTTCTTACATAAAACTTAATCTGAAAGTTTATGATAAAGTTATCAATTCTACAGTAAATAAGAAACCATTCATTTGAGATATCAAATATTTGTTTTTTTAATTTAGACTTAAACCTCTAATCTCAAGTTTTTTATGAGTCTGTGCATTAAAGAAACAAATATTTGATATCACAGGTGAATGATTTCTTATTTATTGTAGAGTCTATAACTTTAGCATAAATTTGCAAGTTAAATTTTATGTAATGGGAAAGAAAGAACACGGGAGAAGAACTATATAAATCAAATGTTACATCTATTGCAGCATCATTGCAATAAGTAAAAAATGAATAATTTCATTTTTTTCTCCTAATCTGATCCAACAGTGGGAAGTTTTCGTTAAAATATCAGCTCAGGAAAAACTCAGAAAGAGTACCAAAAGAAATTCTACACGAATGCACGCATTAAGTCTATTGAGATATAATCGTGACTATTGACCAGTCAATGCTGAATAGTTGATGTTAGATGGGTCGTTTGCAAAATAATATTTGATGCCGTATTAAGCGAAATGTACCGCGTTTATGAAAAGTTGAACTTTTTCGTCAGTTAATTGCCAGTTTAGGTTTCTAATTTAATTTTTCTTTTAGTTTTAATCGACAAAAATACGTTCGAAAAAAGCAATATTCATATTCTCTACAGGAATCGGTGAAACTAGTGTTATTGTCTGGCTTTTACATATATGATAGAGTTCATGGTTCTGAACAACTTTGATGTTTAAGTCGGTTTCTAAATGACGGTGGAAGTTTTTTCCTGTTTATTGCATGCGATTTGCATGGACTATCCAGAATTACCCCATGAAAAATAGCTAACGAGGGTACCGCCCGAAGTGATAAATCGCTTTTCGACTCCGTCTATTCTCATCATGTAGGGAATAGTCAGTAGTGAAAAATTCAAAGTTGGTTTGGGCCCATACGCCTTTTTGACGGAGATATGAGTTAATTAATGAAAATGCCATTAATAATAATTAATTAATAGCTCAGAACCATGATCAGCTAGGAGTCGGAAATTGTCACCACAGTTGAAGATAGATGTTATCTACTCACTGCGACACTTTTAGGCTTATAAACGAAAGCTTTTGTAAAATATGCAATTTTTATGAGTTAGACAGTTTTTAGTGAAAATTCACCATTGAAAACCTAAAAACTTGTTGTCACCCTTTAAATACCTCTGTTCACGCTGCAGACGCCCAGCGACTCTTAAGGACCTATATCTAAATGAAATAAGTCTTTACTGAGTCGATAGAGGTATTTAAAAGGTGATAACAAGTTTTTAGGTTTTCAACGGTGAATTTTCACTAAAAACTGTCTAAAGCATAAAATTCATATCTTGCAAAAGCTTTCGTTTATAAGTCTAAAAGTGTCGCAGTGAGTAGACAATATCTACCTTAGTATATTCAAAATTATAGAAAAGAATTTAAGTAAAATCATTTTACATACAATGTATTATATGTAAAATGATTTTACTTAAATGTTTTTCTATAATTTTGAATATACTATGTTTCATTAAAAACGTAAAAAGGTCAAAACGCATAAAAATATCTATCTTCAACAGTGGTGACAATTTCCGACTCCTAGCTCATCATGGTTCTGAGCTATTAATTAATTATTATTAATGGCATTTTTATTGATTAACTCATATACTCAGTCAAAAAGGCGCATGGGCCCAAACCAACCTGGATGCTGACTATTCCCTACCTGATGAGAATAGTCTGAGTCGAAAAGCGATTTATCACTTCGGGCGGTTCCCTCATAAGTGATGTTAAAGCATTCTGCTTATTCACACCAAGTGATGTTAAAGCATTCTGCTTATTCACACCAAGTGATGTTAAAGCATTCTGCTTATTCACACCAACAGTACCTCCACGCCTGTTTTAAACGATCTTCTGGGACCATCGGCATACTTATGCGTCTTTGGCATACCAACGATGTGCAGAAATCTTCAACTTACGTTCTTAGAACTTAGAAAAAATATTGTATTCTATGAAAGCCCAAACAGTACGACAGTAGAATAAACTATAAAAGGTTGTGTTCTCTTTTTGCTTAAATGTGTTGTTGCTAGCTTGATAAATGAACAATCTTTTGAAACACGACGATTTGTTGTCTTTGAAGAAGTACAAACAAGTAGAAAGAAAATGAAGCTTGATATGAATCAGCTGTATATAACAAAACTAGTATAAAATGAACTATTCTGTAGTAACTGCGAAATAGAGCAATAGCGACCGGAATATATTCTGGAACGTTCTCTCAGCTTCGTCTGAACAATTTTATCGATCTTTTTATCTTAAGCAATACATTTTTTATCTATATTTACCTCCACCCCGACCCTGTGATAACTTTTCCTGCGAGCTACGGTTTCTTTTCTTCAGGATAAAATCCTATAGACCTTGTAGGATCAGCGTAGTAAGATATCTAGCGTGCTACAAGTGAT